ATATATATATATATATATTTATACTCATCGATTGATATGGAATTCTTACACTATCTCTAGTATTGCAGAAGGAGGTGAGTAAGGGAGATGCCAAGGTTCTCTAAATGTATTCGGACCCATAAAATACATCCTATAAACATGACTCTGAGTTTCTTCTGCTTTGGCGCCTCGAACCTGGATAAATATATACATAAAGCAACATTCAGCTCTAATATTGCCGAGCTATAATTGTAGTCAAACCTGGTCAACACTCACCTCAGATAAGGAAAGAAGATGAGGAAAGCGTTGATCACTATTATGATGATCGATTGAATCGGCCCTATTGTATGAGAATCCCGAGCCGATTATTTTAATTCTAACTGTACTCAGAGCTACTGCTAAAATCAAGTCGATACATAATAATAGAAATACAAAAGGCCAGGGGCCACCGAACGTGTATATCAGCTCCTCAAAAGGTGTATAGCATTTAGGCATTCGATATTTGTCGGATATACATTTATAAGGGCAAGAAGAATGTGTGACTCCACCTGTATCAATTAATCCCCAAGTCAAAATAAAAAATGTAATAATAATAATAACAATAATAATAATAAAATAGGTGCAATTTATAATTACATATTAAATAATAGTTACCTCGAACATAGATAAACTGAGCACGAGTAGGAAGTCGATCAAGTGAACAAGGTTTGCAAAGATTAGGATCAGATCCTTCGGCATCTTTATATGTACTGACAGGGCATTCCTATAATACAGGCCACAGATAGATAGAAAACACAATTTACTTCCAATAGAATTTATCTGATTAAAAAAAAAGAAAAAAAAAAGAGCTTTAACTAAACCCAACAATAAGTTGACAATTGGGTATGTGTAAGTCATACGATATTCATATAAGAAATCAATATCCTGGTAAAGCATGAAAATGCCTTCTTTGTCTCTTCTTAATTATGAACGGTGATTGTTATGTCTTGGTTATATTATATATAGATGACAATTACAACAATTGCAAATCCAACATGCATAATCCAAGGAAAAAACAGAAACTCAAAATTATTAACAAACCACACACACACATACACATACAAAATTTACCTGCTAGTATGTATCCTTCAATAAGAGCAGGACAAATTCAAAATGAAAAAAATAAAAAAAAAAATAAAAAAAAAAATAAAAGGGTGCTAAATTAGGGCATTGCTTTTCTGTTATTCATTGTCTATCTTGTCGTACTTTTTATAATTTCCTTTTCATTGGATAGATATATCATATAATGCAACAGACATTAAAAGCTACAAGATCGGAGGAGAATTCAGAAACATACTGTACAAAATGTACCATACAGGCCTTTGGGGCACCGTTTTCCAGTAATCGTGCCTTTCTCTCCACGAAGACCATCTCCGCCACCAGTGCCTCCACTGTTAAAAAAAAAAGAAAAAAAAAGATTAATTATCAAGAGAGAAAAGGGATACATAAGAAAGTAAAGTCAAACAAACAAACCAAATAAAACCCCAACAAAAGTTTTAAAGTGAATGTTTTTTATATATATACTTTCTAGCAACTAATTTAATGAAACTCTTTAATTTTTCCCTCTGTTTTCCGATACTTTTGCATTTTTTATATTTTTTTATTTATTTTATTATATACCAATTACTACTAACAATCAGAAAGTCACATTAAATGATATTCTAATCTAAAACTTTTTTTCCAAACTATTTGTTTAAAATTAGTATTTCTTTACTTGACTCAAAATCTTTTCATTAAAATTAGTTAGATTTTTTTTTATGATATAACCAAAACTTTTAAAATTTCGTACACAATTGCTATAATAATAATTTTAATATTATTTTATCTAATCAATAGATCAAAGCAACCAAGATTGCAAAAAATTGTATTATTGCAATCCATATATAGATTAACAGTAGTTTATATTTATATCGTACATTTTTACTAATGATAAAATTTATAAAATGTGATATACTCATTATCTAACTGATGATTTAAATATTACATGCACATATATACAACTTATAAAATTTAGTTACATATATGCATGTGCACAA